TGGTGTGCGGCTGGGGGGGGCCGGCACGCACACGCGGCTGTTTTGAGGGAAACTCTGTGCTGTGTCAGCAGTAATAAACTTTTCTTTTCTTAGTCACATAGTCTTTGAAAAGACTCTCCGAGTATTTTGTCCCAAGTAATTGTTTTTGCCGCTGCTGTTCCCTGGGCAGCTTGTCTGTTCTTTGTCCTAACTCTTTTCCTTTCCTCTTTTCAGTATTCCTGCTTCTCACTGCTTGATCCATGAGGGAAGCATGGTGGAGCTGCAAGTCCTGGTATCCTCAAAGTGGAAACAAAGGTTTGAACATTTGGAATTGTTTGATGGTGGCAGACTTGCAATTAACCTTCTAGAATTGAAAGGGCTTAACCAGCCTTGAGGCCTTCACTTAGCATGTTTCAAAATGTTTGCTCTTTTTATTAGCAATTATATTCGATGGTATACACCTAAGTGATCACATAATGGTTTTTTTTTTAACAGAATTGAACATGGCTCTGTGGCTGGGTTCATCCAAGACTCGCGATGGTTGCACCGTATTCACCAGTTTTAATTCTCATAAAGTTCTTGCAGCAGTCCTGGTTGGCTGCCAGTTTAAAAAAAGATCACATCCAAAGTTTTTCTGTTCCTGAGGTGCTTTAAGGATGAGGTGGCCTGGGCAGAGTAGCTAAAAGAATAGCTGTTTCCTTACACCTTGAAATCATAGGACACTTCTGAGACTCTGAACATAGACAATATTCTTGCCTGAGCAGGTTGGTTTTTTTATTGCTAAAATTAAAAACCAAACAACTCAAACCCCTAGGAATCTTTATCTAGAGAACAATGCTTTTTTAAAAAGCTTTATTGCCAGTGTTCACGGCCTTTTGCTGTGTAGGAGTCTGGATGTAAAGTGCAGATCGAGAGAATTTGTCTGTGATGTTTTTGGTGCAAAGTACTTTTTAAAGAATGCTTAGAGTTCCTTTACTGGCTCCTGCAGTTCAAATCTTGTTTTATTCTTTGGTAGGTTGTTTTACCGATGCCTTGAAAGTAAGTTGAATGGGAAGAAATGGTGTGGAAGCATCCCGTGGCAGGTAGGAATGTTTCATTTGTATTCTAGTATCAGCTTATCCCAGTGTGACTTTTCATTCTGTATACTGTAATCACCTCTGAGACTACATAGTAGGAGAGCCTGTATTTTCTAGCTGAAAAGTGTATCAGCCTGCTGCCCTCCAGATGAGACTTCTCTTGTTCCTAAATTGTGTGAAGAAATTGCTGTTCTCCAGTCTTAAAAGAAACTTGGGTTTGATCTCTGGCCATCATCTTCTCTTGAGGATGATGCTGTTGGGACTTGATCCCAAAAAAACCATGGGAATGGCAAAGAAAGCAGAAAACCAGCAGTTTTGTTTTGTTTTCCTTGTGATATGTTTATCCTGATCCTGTTAAAATGATAGGAAAGAT